AATTGACAGCAACTAAGTCTTGGAAATCTCTTACACTCCATCCAAACATGAAAGGTAAATTTGTAGATGCTCCATCTTCCCTCCTTGATCCGATCTCAAGAGTTGGCCACTTAGAAAAGACCTTGACCATAAATTTGTGGGGTGAGTTGAGTATCCATAACGTAGACACCCTTGGCAGTCACTTACCACAAACTTTGCCATTATCCAGTCTTACATTGAATGTCAATGGTAAAGTGAGCGATAGGGTTGCTGATTGTCTGGTAAACTTTTTTGTCGCTAACAATGTACTCCTTTCACTGACCATTAACCTGAGTGGCAAAATTACAAATTGTGGACAAGCTGCCCTGCAAAGGTTACACAGAGAAGGTCAATTGCAGTCTTTCATTCTAAACGTGGATGGTTTGGTGACAGAAGACTGGAAATGTTTAAGTGCTCAGAATAAATGTAAAACTTCATCTGCTCTTCCAATTGACATCAGTAACTTCACACCGAATGAAGTGAAGGAAATCATCTTAGGAAGCAAGTCACTTACTGAGTTGAGTTTTGCCTTAGACAGCCACGTTCATTTAGTCCACAACTACACTGGCACAGAATTTGAACACAGCTGGGGTTACGGTCTGGATGAAGGTTTGTCGCAAAATAAGTCATTGACTAAATTCAGTCTTGAAGTAAACGATCACACTGAGACATCAGGCATCTGGGCAGATGGACTGGGTGCAGGTTTGTCAAGTAACAAGTCATTAACTACATTCAGTCTTACAGTCCACAGCTACCCTGACACATTAGGCAACTGGGGGTACGGTCTGGGTCAAGGTTTGTCGAATAACAAGTCATTAACTACATTCAGTCTTACAGTCCAAAACGACGCTGACACATTAGGCAACTGGGGGTACAGTCTGGGTCAAGGTTTGTCGAATAACAAGTCATTGACTACATTCAGTCTTGCAGTCCACAACTACAATCACACAGGAGGCTACTGGGGAGACATTCTGCATCAAGGTTTGTCACATAACAAGTCATTGACTACATTCAGTCTTACAGTCCACAACTACGATCACATAGGAGGCCGCTGGGGAGGCAGTCTGGGTCAAGGTTTGTCACGTAACAAGTCATTGACTACATTCAGTCTTACAGTCCACAACTACGTTGACACAGGAGGCTGCTGGGTAACTGGTTTGGGTCAAGGTTTGTCGGATAACAAGTCATTGACTACATTTAGTCTTACAGTCAACAACTATGCTGACATGGAAGCTAGCTGGGAGTTCGCTCTGGGTCACGGTTTGTCGAATAACAAGTCTTTGACTACATTCAGTCTTACAGTCCACAACTATGCTGACGCAGAAGGCAGCTGGGGATGCAGTCTGGGTCAGGGTTTGTCAAGTAACAAGTCATTGACTACATTCAGTCTTACAGTCCACAACTATACTGACACAGAAGGCAGCTGGGGGTACGGTCTGGGTCAAGGTTTGTTGAATAACAAGTCATTGACTACATTTAGTCTTACAGTCCACAATTATGCTGACACAGAAGGCAACTGGGGATACAGTCTGGGTCAGGGTTTGTCGAATAACAAGTCGTTGACTACATTCAGTCTTACAGTCCATGACTACACTGACTCGAGCAAAAGTTGGGCACACAATATGACTAATGGTTTGGCAAAAAGTTGTTCATTGACAACACTCAGACTTGTAATTAATGACCACACTGGTGTAAATAGAGATCTTGACAACCTCTTGTTTAAATCTTTGGAAGAAATTGAGTCATTAACTTCGCTAAATATATCAGTAAGCTTGTATGGAGAAGACAATGTTGAACTAAACTAAAGCATAAGAACAGACTAAAATTCGAATTGTACTTTCATTGGCTGCACAGGAACCGATTGACACTGGAAATTTCTGATTGGAAGTTTGAAAATATCAGCCTTCGGTTGAATTGTGCATGTCTAAACATGTTGCTCAATCGACTAGGTGGTGTTTTACTTCCACTCACTTTGTTTTAAAAGCCAATCAAAATCCAACCTGTTATGGAACTCTAGAGAGCCGCTTGTTTTGTCAAGCTAGTGCAGTAAGAAACAAAAACTTAAGGAATGAGACTCACAGTTCAGTGCATGTGCAAGCTATAGCGTGGCCATGAAGTGCCTCTCTGAACCACATACATTGTAGCAATCTCAGATGGTTATACAATTAAGACTAATCCATGGAATTAAGTTTTGAGTCGTATATATGGGAGTCGGAACTTGCAAATGAATTCTAATGAGAAATATCACCTCCATCAACAAGACCAACTGTGATACTTTTTAAAGGAAAATGTTATTCAAAAGTTATCAGTTCACTTTCGATTGTTTGATAAACAGTGGAATAGAATGGGCCAACCTTATGGCTTGCATATGCGCAGAGCTGTGAGACCAACGTTTGGGGCTGGTTTTCTACAACACAAATTTAAGCTTTTTAGCAACATACTCAGATGCAGGAAGGTGGTGTGAAGACATAAAGGATGTAGCCATATGAAAGAACAGCTGACATTTGTCGGCATATTTGGTTGAATGTTAAACTTGATGCTTTTTGGTTTGATATTTGTTTGAAACCTATAGAATACTGTATGAAAAGAATTGTTTGTTGTGTGACTTGAAGTACACGACATTTGTAAATACACATACATAAAGCTTTGACTGTACTAAGTGCTTTGATGTCAAGCATCAAAGCATTTGAAATTTGCCAACTTGTTACCTAAAGAATTGTAATTTTGCAGCTTTTTGTTTGAGAAGATGGGGAAATTCTCATTTCCTATTTTTCTGAAGTTCTTAATCAAACTCCTTTGAACTTTGAACATTTACGGTAAGGATTACTGTATCCCTTCAGGGGAAGTGAGGAACATTTATAGCCAATAATTACTAATAACTATGTATAACTATTAGAGTTGAGAGGATTACACTAATCCTCTAACACCTTGTTTTGTATCAGAACAAAAAAACATGAACATTTATAGCTGGACAGCTATTACTACGTAATAATGATAAGCTCGGCGTACTCAAAGGTTATATCCCGCTAAGAAAGTTGAGTAACAAAATTGTATGTAGTACGAGATGCATAATTTCAATAAATGATTTGTATTTTTGATGACTGTCTCACTTAAACAGGGGACTCGGACTTATGCAAGTGCAAATATTTTACTGTTATATCAGTGATGGCCATTTGTCAAGAGCACACAAGATTATACGTGCGCTACAGGACCCAGTTGTTCATAGGACGGATAATGCTATCCACTGGATAAATTGCTATCTGGTGGGTAAGTACGTGTTAACACAACAAACCATGCTATCCGCTGGATAGTGATTTATGTGGAGGATAGCGTTAACTGCCTTTTGAACAACCCGGGCCAGAACAGGTTCACTTAATGTACCCAAGGGCTGAATATACCCAATCCACGGGACTAACTGCCGATTGTTTTGTATCAAACATACCGTTGTAAGATTGAGATCAAGGGTACAATCGTCCAGCCTAGTATCTCATTAGAGCAACAGTGATCTAATCTGGAGATCATAGGTTCAAATCCCACCAAGGTCAAAGAATTTCCTTTACCTTGTATAGTCCCCCATTTCCCTTCTAGAGCTAATGCGCAGAAGGAAATGCGTGTGTTAATTTCCAGCACTCCATATTACTTAAAATTTTCTACTTTCCATACCCTAGTAAGAACTGCTCTCTGTTGCAGTTGAAGTTAGAAAGCATGCTATATAGACCCTGTTCATAAATAGCTGCCAATTTAAAATTCCTTTGTATGCATTTAAATTATCTCAAATAACATTGTTTGAGAGTACAAATTCTTTTGAGTTATCTACTCAAATGTGATTAGCTGGGGTAATTTTAATAATTACAAAATAATTTTTATTTGGCAGCCATTTATGAAGAGGGTCTGTACTGTACCTCGAGACATCAGCAGTGCATTGTGGGTCAAAGGCATGGGAGTCAAAGAGTTGGCAGAACATTATGGGGGGTGGGTGGAGGATGGCATGGTTGAGGTTGAGTTAATTATGTGAGAGTGCACACTGAAAAGTACCCATAACACAATGTAGGTACTGGAGTCCATACTTTTTCCCCCCTGGCTAAAGTAAAATTTTATGATGAACATCCTGGACATCCCCAGCATGTTTTCAGAACTTGTTCTTTGATGAGTCAGTGCTGACGCTTTTTTCAGTTGTTTGCGTAATAATATTAAACAAATGGCCAGCCATTGCTGGACACGTTATTGCCATTTTGGTACAGGAAAAGGTTACCACAGCAACAGCATATCCCGTTAAAAACATCCTTGATTTTAGCTTTAAATACTTATAACTGAAAAGCAAGTCCAGTGGCCACCTTTTATTATGGAATTGAGTCAGCACATCAAAATACAAAGTTTTGCAAAGTTTTGTAAGGTTTGTGGGAGGGGGCTCAGAGCCACTTTAATTTTTTGAAAATCTAAGGTGGCTTGGAATTCTTCCAATAATAATAATATTAATTTTTATACTTTGTGAAAAGTTGAATCTTGAGCTGATTACAATTTGACAATTAAACTAGAATTAAGGGGGGTTTTGTAACAGGCAATAACATTGAAATTTGGCTTGTCACTTACTCCTTCCTTATGGCAGGAGTGCGTGACACTACCTTACAGGAGAAGTGTGTGACAAGCCAAAGAATGTCTCTGCAGGAGGTTACAAGAACCCCAGCATCAAGTCAAGATAAAATATGTTGCATGAAACAACAATACATGAATTTGATTTGTTTTATAAGATTCCAATCAGTTTTCTAGGGAATTGAAAATGAATAATACTAGAAACAAAAACTAGATTCCATGCTGAAGACCTCAAAATATGGTGGGAACATCAGTGACGCACTTATTTAATGGCTTGTGTGCTTCTTTTTGTTCTTACCACATTTTTATCTCAACTGTGCTCTATTTAACAATTAGATTATGAGCTCTGGATTTCTATTGCGTGATTCTCTTAGTAATAATCTACTAGTCATTCATCTAAATCCTTTTCAGACACTTCCAAAGTACAAAGAAGCAGCCATTATTTTGTTAACAAGTGCACACTGCTAGGCTACTCACTATATCTGCAAGAGAATAGTAGCGAATAGCATAGCCAATCGGAGAACGGCATTCCTAATAGAACGCTAGTAGATTTATACTAATATTGAACAGATGCACAGTAACATGGTATGGAATCTATTTGTTAAACAGACATAAATTATAATTTCTTTGGCTTGTAGCACTGGTTTAGTTTATGATCAAAACAGCAGTTAACAACTTCACATTTTGCTGCTGGTATCACGGTAATCTTGTTGGACACCACACACACTCTGTCCATTGGTAACCCTGTGATTGTTCTTTGCAAGTAGCACTTTGTGTCTAAACATAGAAAGAACAGCCATCACCTGATTAGTCTAGTTCCCTTCAAAGCAGTCAAACTACTGAGCGTGTAGCTCCTCCTAGGAGGAGCTGCACGCATAAGAGGCTGTGTACACTGTCTAAACTTTAGCTTGAAACTGGTCAGGGTTGTGTAAATTTGAAATGTCAAGCGGGAGTTTTGGTGGAATGACAGTCCCTCTTACTTGGTCTCGTGAAAGAAAAAAAGAAGCAAATTTATTTTATGGAGTTGTTTCAATTCTCAGCAGTAACTTTAATTTCTTGTTGTCATTTGTCACCTTACAAAGCGAGGTCAGAGTTTCAAAATACAGTAGTTCTAAGCCAAATGGCATGTAAAGCAAATGTACATGTATGATATACCCATTTTTACCACTAAATTAAATTTGAATCTGCCAAATGCCCCAAATTCTTTCAATTTTTCTGATGCTTTCTTCAGTAATGGAATCGAATCTCAAATCAAAAACAAACCCTTGCAAAGCATTTTGGTTGACAGATAGTCTATAACTAGCAGAAACAGTCTGACCCCATTTAAACAGACACCATAAGGACTATGCATACATGCATGTAGTGTTTAAGTTAACCGGATGTGTCTTAATGTAAAATAATATAAACTGCAAGAGATGAGGCAGCCAGTCAGTCTCATCACTTCGACTTATGTACAGAGTGTTTCTAAGCTTTTATAACTTGTTTTAAGGACGGTGCCTACTACATACAAAGGTCTTTTCCCCAATTTAGGACAATATAGAAAAAGCAGATCTTAGCAAGGGCTATTCGAATCCACAAAGAAAACTGGGGGTAGCCATGCATTTTTTTTTTCAAGATTATTAGCCTTGAATCTCAAATAAGTTGCTGAGTTCAGCATTTTTCTGAAAGAAGAAAGAAATTTTTTTTTTCACAGATGTCCTTACAATTCCCATTACATACAGAAAAGGAAGCACTTTAATGAAGATCTTTAAGTTAAATGCAGGTAACATAAAACCACTTCTGGTATGTTTATTATAACAAAATCGTTGCAACGTACAGTGCTTTAATCATCTCTGACAGCTCTCCTCTGGTTTAGCCAAAATACAGTAATAGGCTTGCCATTTCCATTTCATAATATAAAATTTTCTATGGATAACAAAGCAGCTGGAAGACGTTAACAGTTAGTGGTTAGCGATGTGGTTCTGTCCTTGTGTTCCTGACATTAAACTTGAGTTTGTCACTGAAAAATTTTGCTGTCATTTAGTCACGTACTTGGTAGCATAGGAGATTACATCAGTGTCAAAACTAGAGTGCACATGGCGTTTAAACCATTCACAGGACGTGCACATTAACAACAGGAGGCATTTATGTCTGGATTAATGAAAACCATGTCAATTTCAACACAACCATCCTGCCACTTTTCCAAGAAATTACACAGGCTTTTTCACTCAATCAATCACAGGCAGTCTGTCACTACACAGCTTACTCACCCACCTTGCTTGTGTGTAGCTGGCTGGTGTGCACTGCTGACCCCTCAGCCTGCAGGGCATGGTGGTCCAAGGCTGTTCTGCGAAGAAAATGACCAGTTTTACTGACAAAAATGCCTCTCTTTATGAGCCACCCCACCCCCTGGGGTTAGATCTCAGGGGTCCTGCTTGGTATCAGCTGGTAGCCAGGGACTAATGGGCTGTCTGCCCCAACCCTTCTTAACGGAAGCCACCCTGGGTTTTCATGAGCAGCATCAGCCTGCCTGCCAGGTATTGCCTGCGGGCAGGTGAAAACGTTTTGCCTAAATTTGACATGATATTCATAAATTCAGACATAATAATGTACATGTAAACAATTGTCTTTGGTCATTATATGCATACGGCTATGCAAAAACAAACAAACTTCAACTAATTTAGTTGACTTAAAGGAGCTACATCATGGTTTGCACATATTGAAAAGTTTTAGCCTCGATTTTTCAAATTCATTCATCTGTGGTAATCTTCCCAATCCTTAGCCATCCTTGTTCCTTTATGGTTTATCATTATCTCTCTGGTGTTTTTCTATCTTAGTAAACTGTTATTTTCAGGTTTCCTACCATTTAAACGTAATTTTGTATGTGGCCAAAATAACTCAAAATACTGTGACTGAGCGCCTTTAAATACCTGAAAGGATTTTATTTATTTGATCCTTTCCACTGGACCACCTGAATCACTTGAACTGAGGAGGAAACTGAAAAAAATAAGATATATAAAAAATTGAACATTCAAATTAAATGTATCATATATACATCATGTGTTTTACCCAAATTAGGCTACAGACTGCAACAAAACTATTTTGAGTCAAAAAAAATCCCCATGCAATAAAACATTAAGCTTAACTGACTCATAACTGAGGATAAATTTGAATGCCAGTTTCTGTAGCAAGAATAGGCTACATGTGCTTAGGAGTTAAATTACTGCTTGCTTGTCCATTGCAAGCTTACTCTCCTGCATTTTGTCAGTTTGCCTCAACAATCCACTGGTATCTGTTCGTACATGTACTGGGTGGAGAGAAGAACTATGAGAATAAAGTGTTTTGCCAAAGACCACAACACAATGATCTTTTAAGAGGCAATATTTGTTTCCTTGGTACTGGACTAGAGCTTAGCTAATACAACTAAGGCTAATGCAGGGAGTCTTTTCAAATGCAAATTACATTACCCGTAATCTTATTTACTGATATTCCCCCATATGAACCTTCATTGCAAGCTATATTGTTAAGTTCCGGTCCAATACTGGGACTATGGAATGGTCAGTGTAAAACACAGACTGCGGACTGCAGACCGGGGATAAAATGCAGACTGAGAGTAAAATGCAGACTGCAGACCAGGAAAAAAAAAGAAACTGCACACTAAAGACTTTATAACTGAATTGTGTTACCATTTCTATCATTGAAAGCGAACTGTAAACAGGCTAACCAGAACATTATTTAGGCTAACCTGAGTGATGTGCAGGCTAACTAGGCTTGCCAGAGTGCAGACTTTCACTACCTGTCAGAGTAGCCTGAATATCGCTGTTTGTGGCGAGCACTCCATGATGGAAATAACATAGCATATACTTAAGTCTACAGGCTGGCATTTTACTCCTGGTCCGCAGTCTGCATTCTATCCCTGGTCTGGGCACAGTCTGCAGTCCGCAGTCTGAGTTTTACACTGACCAGAATATGAATTAGCCTAATTTGACCAAGGCTCAAACCTAGACTGTACTTAGACCATTTGACCACCGTCTGTGTCTCCAATTACAATTATCATACTTCCACCCTGCTCTACACAATGCAGTGCATTATAATTATATATAATTTATAAAATTTAGTTTACTCTCTCTCCAGTAAAAGTCACTTAATTTACATGGAAGTCACTATGTGAGTATGTATTAATAAAAAAATAATAAATATTATTATATGATTACAATAATTAAATACCAACCTATTGAAATCATCTCTTGTGATACACTCTGAAGACAAATTTTACGAACCATGGGAAAAAATTTCACAAAGTAATTTACTTAACAAATAAATTAATAAAATAATGTCATAACATGCATGAGGTCAGAAATGGGCAATCACCAATTCTTAATGATATTATCTTTCTTTCTTACATATTTTTCTAGCCATCTGATCACAGAGCCTAACAGGCCAACGGGCAGATTTGCTAATTTTAGATCCCTTAATTAATTTCCACAAAGATGCTTTTTAATTTAAGGGACCCGATCAGAAGAACTGTTGGAACTTGGCACTGTCTGAACTAAATAATCTTTCTGCCAATCAAAATATTTTGAGGAATTTTTTGATATTCTAATTCAGGCTATTATAGAAATGGTGTTAATGCATGTCAACATATTTTATTAAACTTGTTTTAAGATCTGTTGATGATATATACTATTCTTGTCATCTTTGTTTAACCTCTACTTTTTAGAGTCTTCATTATTTATTATTAATTAACAATGACATGTAATTTGATGTTTCATTATCTGTTGATCTTGCATAATTATTTTTGGTAAAAACCGACACTATTTGGTTATCGCTGTGTTATTGCATCCATTACTAAACACAATGAAGGTCGGTGCAGTTAATTATAAATTGTTTGGGTAAAATGTTCTTAGTACATGTTAAGTTTATTGAACGAAAAAAAATCATGTAATTTCATGATTCATCGATCATTTGCAAATTTGAAGTAATGGAAAAATGATCTAAAGCCCCATAGACTGCATTCTGAAGACAAAGACATAATTAAGCTCTTTTAAAAAACAGAAGTTTACTATTCTAATGCAACCCGCAAATACAATGAGGGCAATGGCGACGATTATTACATCTCAAAAAATCAAAATCATCCGTACAATTGACGAAAATGGATGACACGAAACACGAATCTTTGAAGAACGTATCTTTGAACTTTATGAAAGCATCTTGGTCAACAAATGTAGCGATAGTATTTAAAACCTTGGTAGTAACGCATGACCATTTAGGTATCGGATCGACATTTAATACATTATGCTTTCCTTACAGCTTACAGTGGATTTACATGGTTGGTAACAGTGTACAATGTAATTTCTACTCACCAATTTCGTATTTTGTTGCAGCTATTTTAGCTGTAACCTGGCGTTTCCTAACAGGCTTTTTTTTGTTCGAATTGTTTACCATGCGTTTGCGATCCATATTTGTCTGTGCTGTTGTTGAGTTTCTTCGTCTTCGCAATCCTCAGCTATTATAGATGCTTCGTCTTCGATTTCTTTTCCTTTATGATCAGAACCATCATTCACGTCCAGAGTGCTTGAATGAAGTAAATTAAAGTGGTCTTTAGCCATGGCAGCCGCGTTTTCAGCTAAATCATGATTACAATCGTCCATAGTTACCGATTGCAATGGCGTACGAGACGACAGCGGAATCTCAGTATGGCAAAATTGCCTTTGCTCGCAGAGGAGATGTCCAAATTTACACTTTTCGCGCATTATTAACACATTGTGGTGCTAAAAGTACCAATTTGTCATCTCCATGGAAATGGTTTTGAAAACTTGATGTGGAAAAAAAACCTCTTGAATGATGATTTGTTCGTATGTGGTATTTGGTCTATTCTGATGATGGGTGTAGCGTGAGGTCTTCACCTTAGCAACAAGCTAACGTAACGTAACGTGGTGTAACGAACGCGGAAGTCTGGAAAGAAGAGTCCTGTTGTTGGACTGTTCTGTATTTGTGTCAAGACCTGGAACCATACAAAGAGTACATAAACTTAAAGAGAAAATTATTCCTTGTATCTTCCCTTATAGACTTGCGTTTTTAACTTATGTCGAAACATTTTCTTTTGTCTGACAAGTCGAGAACTTCTAGAATCGGACTGGTACACAGTTATTATTGTTCGATAATTACGACAAGTTATCGGGTTACCAGCCATATTAGGAGTCCTAGGTGGCACCACATTCCGTGTCATTCTTCATTCTGTTAATCCTCTTCTACTCCCTGCCGCCGCAGCCTCGCCAGTTAACGTCCTTTCCATACCGTATACGCTGGGTTAAGCCGTTTGAAACTTGCAATCATGGGTTGAATCGTGTATTCACCGATGTCATCGATCAACATGTAGTGCGGTAACACGCTGATCATCAAATTCCTCGAAGGTACGTAAGCGGAGTTAGGTTGTGCGTGCTGAAAGAAATCTTTGTTGTAGATTGGTATGTAGTAAGGATTGTTCGTAATGTCATGAATTCATCTTTGAAACGTGGACTACATTGTAGCGATTAAGTTTTTGTTTGCAGTAGACGTGCAGTGAGCAAGGAGTTAAACAAATTAGGAGCGAATCATAAAGGAAATGATGATTAATCACTTTCACTTTCAAGTACATTCCATGAGGGAAATTAATGAGTCTCATGTACTCGTTCAGACCACAGACCATACATTTGTTATTGCAGAATCTAGAGAAAAATACACACTTTCAGCTGTTTGGTAGTACTGAAAGAATTCATTCCCATTCGTATTGATGTCATCAATCCGTTTCAGAAAATAAACAATATTTACATGCAACGTCACAACATTTTTGATTCAGGTTTAGACTAGCTACGAGCAGTCGGTTTTTGTTCCTGAAATCCTCCGCGCGCGAAACTCAAAAACGCAAGGAAAACGCTAGGAAAAGAAAGAGACTGCTCGCAGTCTAATTCAGATCAGTAGTCAAAGAACACTCTCATTGTTCCTAAGGCTAAAGTAACAAAAGTATAGGTGGCTTTTTTAGTTATTTCAATCTGTACCAGCCTGCATTTTTGTCTGGGGCTCATCTGTAGTCTTCATTTTACACAAATCGTGAGCAAACAGGCAATATTCCTATCTCCTGGTAAAAGCGAGCTGGAAACTTGATTCAGATCATATTACCATTAGAAAACATTTATGTATGCAGGGACAATCTAGCAAAGCTAAGAGCAGTGGCTAATTTCACTGGCCAAAATTCCACTAGAAAACAAAGATTGCATGGAGGTAATTTTTAAGGGCATCAGCCTGGAAAAGTGGTTGAGCTTGATAATGGATCTTAAGGTGTGATTCCTTAGTAAAAGAACCCGCCATAGATTTCTGATGAAACTTGGTATGCTGTTGTTGCAGGACAAGGAGATATTAAAAACGTAATAAAAAGAGGGGGTAAGATAAGAAGATAAGATAAGATAAAATTTTATTGTACACTCCTTAAAAGGTTTTTCAGTGAACAATATAATACATGAAGTGAGATAAGTACAAAGTACACTTGTTATATATTATGTATGAAGTACACTAATTATATTAAAAAAAAATAGAAAGGAAGAAAAATAAAATGTAGGAACCCAATGTTCACTACAGGAAAGCGGCAACAAGTAAAACTAGAGATGCGCTGAACTGCAAACGTCTTTTATTACATGAACAACGATTCACTGAAATCAAATGCGTAAATCCGCTAAGTAAACCAAAATAACAACTGAATCACAAAGGATAAGAAAGCTAAATGAAAACCGATCGATACTTACAAGTTTTTCGTGCCTTGTTCCGCTAATAAGAAATGAAATCCTGCTCGACACTAACAATGAACTTCGAACACACTAAAACGAACTCAAAAGCAGACCATGTGCTTTTGAAACTTGATATTTACCGCGACTGCAGAATGCATGATCAGCGGCACGCGTCATAAATGAAACACTGAAATGTCCACTTCTTAAATGTCTCTATTCGAATCATTCCTAAAACAAGACCAAGTCGTTACATAAAAGATATAAGAAAAATTTAATTTAAGATCTCGCTGAGCTTTGTCTTCAGAGTTTTCTTAAAATTTTCACGCCACAATGCTGACAAATACGGTTTTTAAGGTGACTTTTAGTGATCTCCGCTTGCAACAAATAAGCTTGATTATTTTTCAATGCAGCGTGTTACATCACACAGAGTTTGACTTTCTGTGATTGTTTATTCAGCTATGTCCCACAAAAAATGTCTTCAAATACCCTGCGTTTTATTATCCTTCAAAGGAAACATAATTTGGACATGCACTATTTATTTCATTTGCCAAAAAAGTAGCCTTAGATTTCTGCTAATTTCTTTCTCAGTTATTGAGGATATTGTTCTCATTGAAATTATGAAATAAAAAGTGGAGGTCACCATGCTCGTTTTAGAGAAAAGGAGTATTTATTTCGCTATCAAGCTTAATTTGAGGGAAATCTCTTACGTTTTGTGTGCGCACGTGCTAATGACGTGAAAATCGTTCGCAGTAGGGATGCGCAATGCAATACTAAGGAATCACCTTAAGGACTTTGCAATGTGCATAGGTTTTTCTTAGGTATATCTAGGTGCAATGCATACGCACAGCAGAAAGAGATGCAAACTTGGATCATTGAAAATGTACATTGATAGTTTTTTGAGGAAATTCTAAAGAAGAAAAACATTGTGTATTGTTGAACAATATGTTTTGTACAAAACTCAAAAAACTTCTGGGTATATCCATGGTCATAATAACTGCAGCTATACATGTACAGTACATTGTTATTTTTTCTCAGTCTTTAATATTAATAATGTTTTCCTTTCATATTTTTCAGTTTTCTCTTCGGAAATATACTAATGCAAGAAATGAGATCCTGTAAGATTTTGGTGATTGCTCAGTCAAGATGCTAAGAAGTGTGTATTGTAACTACTGCTGGTGAGACTTTTTGCATATTCTTAGGTATTTAAAATCACAATTAAAGACACGTAATTAACTTAAGGTTACTTCCCACCTTCAGAGGCCAAAAAATTTTTTTTTTCTTTTATTTGACAAAATTTAAGTTCGTCATTTTATCTAGTGTTTCCAAAAGAAAAACATCAAAAATCTCAAAAAGCGGCCGAGTTATTTAGAAAAAACGTATTTTCAAATAATTATTTGAAAATAATTATTAGAAAATACGTTTCAAATAATTATTTGAAAATACGTTTTTTCTAAATAACTCGGCCGCTTTTTGAGCTATAAAGTTAATAAACTAGGAAGGTGTCACAATCTTGTTAACGGGCGAGAACCCTGGGGAAGTTTTCGCGGCAAACCCTCACTGCTCGTATTTCATGTCATTTGCAAATTTTTATTTACATCACGCACTTGACAAGAATTCCCATGTGGAGACTCTTTACGCTAACTCCTATGGAAAACTCAAAAGCAGAAAAAAGTCCTTGCGTAAAGGAAACGAAAAAAACCGCCCCAAAGAAGAAAGAAAAAGCTCCATATTGTCAAGGAAAGAAAAGAAAACCTTGCCAAAACCTTGGCTTAGCCTTCGACAATCTCGTCATCTGCTGAAGATCCGGAGCGTTCGAATATCCTTGGAGCAAGTAGCTTAAAAATCAAAGTCAATGTCAGTGCAGGCTGCAAACAATATTCTTCGTCGGAATCTGGCGGAAGTGATGAAGAAAATGAAACCCACCTAAGGGAACTCATTTCAGCAATAAGGGTATTTCTTAAGCTGTCCGTCGATTCCTTAACGTCTTGTTTTTCAGGGGCACATTTTCCGCCTTAAACCTTTTTGTTGCGGGTTTTGCCTTTGCCTTTGCCTTTGGCGTCTTTGCCCATTATATTACATCGCCATCCTGAATTGAACTCCACTGAGTGAGATAAAAAAAAAAACATGTTGCAATGTGATGCTTTTCCTGGGAAATCTTGATCTTTTGTCATAGACGCTAAGAAGGTCCTGTTGTTCCATTGGTTTGCGGTTTCATTAGGTGTGATAATCTCCGGGCGTGGCACGAGTTGTTTACAAACCTTTACAAGCTAAAATCTCGCATTTGATTTTTGGAGGAATACTCCACTTTGAGTGAATTTATAGGGTATGCAGATTTGGCGGATTTTCGTGAAATTTCGCCAGAACATTCCAGAGATAATGACAAACCAAATTGTGTCAGGATATTTTGATATTTAACACATTTTTCCCGTGGCGTCCATTTACGCAACTCGTCTCATATTTTTAGCTACTCCAACTTTAGAAGTGGATATCTAGACAACCAATCAGAATATTGAAAAAGCCCAACAAACTTTTGTTGATTGATGGCTTGTGAATAAGACTGTGCAGCCATTTTGCTCCTACTGTGGAATCTGATACCCGATAAATTCAATAGAAGAAGCCTCGGTCGTTTCTCGCCTTACCGCCTCGTGACACTTCCTAAAAGAAAACATTGCTAAAATAGTATTTTTTTTCGTATAGTACATTTATTAAGCTTTCTTATGATATATAGTTTGTTGGAGTTTTATTGAAACTGGCGCGCGTACAATTTTTTCTTGAAGGGCACCCGCGAAGGTGGGAAGTAACCTTAACACAATGTGTTGGTTATACAATTATTAGAGTTCATAGAACGCCGTTCCTAATTTGGTTTTCTTACCTGTGCACATACTGGGTGTCCTGCATATACCATTGAGATTTTGGGCGGCAAATAGCCTTGCTTTCATTTTGTTGACCTTGATTTAATGCACCTTTTCTTAAAAAGTGTAGGTAAATGGATCATTCCAGAAAATATCCATACCCTACCACGGGCAGCAAGAATATTTTTAACAATTTTCGGTCAAGCAATAAGCAACTCAAGTTTCTCAACGTTAAATACAGTACACCATAGCTTTCCCTTCTATAATCAAATAAAACTTTTTGTTTTCCATTCGTTAGCTCCATATTTTCAGGAGAGTAGATCATATTGATACCAGTGGAAGACAAAATTGACGTTCACGATGTGTCGTCACCTGCCATATTGAAAATTTCGTTCATTCAGTAACTGCTGACCACTAGTAATGCAACCTTGGTAACGAGAGACTGGTGCGAGTTTTTCGCACGCCACAAGGTGGTTGATCAACAATTTAAGATTGCAAAGAAACACAGATTTGTTTTATATTTTATTAATCTATCGACTAATTCATCAACTTTAGGCCTCTTCGATGTGGAGCTTGCTGCACAACCCATCCGCTCATTCATACGCACGAACGCCAACACCTACCTGATCAATCTTTATGCTGCTTCGCAGTCACTTCGTGCTTGATTTACAAACTAGAAAAGTTATCAGATCAGCGATTTCAATTAAAGATTTCGCCATCTTCCCCCTCTGGAAATTCAGAGCTGAAACCCCCCCATGCGTGTGGAATTCCGAACTGTGTAAGCCCCCCATGCCTTCAGAATTCCAGTCCAAGAAAACCCCCCTCTCCCTCGCAATTCCAAGATGCCACACATGGTAGGGTATGGATATTTTCTGGAATCAATAAACCCAGTAATGGAGTGTTGTAGGACAAATCTACAAACTTTAAAGGTCTTGTTTTCATTCCTAATGCGGAGAAATTACCGCTTTGAGATTTACAATAGAAAGGAAAAATACAAATGAATGTTTTGGTGGCCTCAGAATATGGAAGATCAAGGAGTACAGAGTCCTCAAACCTTTCTGGTGAAGAATTTTTTCTTCCTTCAGCGGCTGCGTCGACTGCAAAACAGTCATTTTCGGATGTTTTCAGAGGGTGCGAAGTGCCATAAGGCGATCCTCGTGTGTGAAGCATGCAAGCCTCACACGCCCGTAGGGCATTTGAGTCTCTCCCCACTCTCCCTCGCCATTTTTACACTCGCTCCAGACCTTTCGTTCAAATATTGACCGTTGCTCATGTTTGCAAAAAATATGACTGTTTTGCAGTCTAGCGGCCGCGAAACATGATGATCAGTTGTACGCTTTCAAGTAAGTTTTGAATATCAATCATGGATTTAAAGTAGTTTTCCAGATTTCAGAAAACAAAAATAGTAATGTTCAGTATTACTTCCAAGTTGAATTCAACTTTTGGAACGATTGGTAATGCTGTGACCGATAAAATGACTGCAAAAAAGTCGTCGGCAAAAGCTCAAGCTCGATTTTGCTTTAATGTGAAGAATAAATCTGAACAGTGCTGACATGCAGTGAAGCATGTCTGCAAAATTTTGAACATTTTTTTGGCTTTTAAATAGGTTTCTTTGCCTCGGCTTGAATGAAAATTTATTGTTATTGAACTTCCTTTTGCATTTCTTTCATTTACTTCCCTGTATTTAGGAATTTAGGTTTTAACAATGAGCAGTAATTTGCATACTGGATTTCTGCACATTGAATTTATGGCAACCTCTCCTCGGTTTGTTTGTTTAGTTCATTCACTTAATTGCATTGGTGCAATATATATATTTTTTGAAGTCTTCTCTTCATTATATTTTTTGAAGTCTTCTCCCTCCTGTTTTTTGCTTGTGCCTCAAATTTTGTGCACTAAGATGCGGGAACACTTGCTATACAGGCTTATTTAGAGTTTATTTTGATGTCATAGTTATTGAGAATTATACATCATTGCAGTTCTTTTCAACCTCTTCATTCAGACACTTATAGTACTCTTCATAATTATGCAGTCAAGTCAATGTTTGCTTACACATATATTTACTTCAATCCATATTTTAGTGTGAGCATACAAGTTGTTCTCTAAAGGCTTCCTGTGATGTCTAGGCTGGAAAAGGTAATTTCTTCTTTTAAACTCCTCATGGTTTTTCCTTTTCATTTGATCCTGCTTGGTTTATTACCTTTTATTTGGCTGAAATACATGAAGGTACAGATTTCAGGTTTGAAACCAATAATGACACGGTTTTTAAAATCACACTATCTTGCTTTTTCACATAATGAACCTCAAATCGCATCCGATGACTCTCAGTAGTGGACCTTTTAACCAATGTCATACTTATCTGATTTTTTCATTGAAACAAAAAATAAGCCTCAGTTCTATTTACATATTGTATCATCATGTTTTGAGGTTTCCTGTTACTTTGGAAAATTTCTTGGGCAGTGACAAAATTTTACATGTTTGAATTAACAGTAGATTGCCCAAACCCTTTTCAGACTGTTAGTGACACCAATTAAGGACGTTCGTGCAAAAATTTTCCAACATTGATAGTTTTCTGACACTTTTACCACTGTAAGATGCTGAGTTAATTATGTCAGAAATGTGAAAAAATGGGGGGTCATTGACTTCGTTTTGGAGAGAACATGCCCAGAGGAACACCCTAAATCTCAAAAAAATGGGCTTCATTAGCAAACAAGGCCACAGTGTCTGTAAGCCCAAAAATAATGCAATTAGATCTTTCAAGTGAAATGTCCTCTGCCACGTATTGTTCAAGTGGGCCTATTAATTANACGCGTCATAAATGAAACACTGAAATGTCCACTTCTTAAATGTCTCTATTCGAATCATTCCTAAAACAAGACCAAGTCGTTACATGCTCCCCCCCAAAGACTCTCGTAGTCTTTAGGTATTTGACTCGTTTGATAACAGAAAGAATGTCATTGATTCCAAATTCCTGGATCTTAAGAAAAAGGTCAATCGACAGTTCAATAACTAATCGCACAAGTTCAGGTTTTTTTTCTTCTCCATGGACTCCTCAATGGACTTCAATAGCTCCTCTTCCAGAAGGCAGAGTTTGCGGATATCTCTCCTGAAGACACCTCTTGCACTTTTCACCAGAACTTGTCGCACCACACCATCAGAATCTGGGAAGGTCTCTTGAACTAGCGCTTTGGGCCACTGTCCTCGGGAGAGGTTTGCATCCTTCATGATGACCAAGTCTCCGACCTTGAAGTTTCGCCTCTGCTTCAGCCACTTTTGGCGTTCCTGCAACAAGGGAAGATATTCTTTAACCCAGCGGGCCCAAAACTCATTCGCCAAAATGTGCACATGTTTCCATCTTGCTTGAAACTTGTCGGAGTATTCCAATTTACGAGGAGCTGAACACGGATTCGGGCGCAACAGCAGTATGTGGTTAGGGGTCAAGGCCTCTAAATCGTCGGGGTCGCTAGACACACGAGTGATCGGTCGACTATTCAGGATCTTCTCGACTTCTGTCAGGAATGTCGTTAGGGTCTGCTCATTGACAAGGTGCTCACCAATCATGGCGTGGAGAATCCTTCGAACGGAGCGAATGAGCCGCTCCCAAACACCTCCTTGGTGGCTTGCCGCCGGGGGATTGAAATACCACTGTATATTCTCCTGAAGCAGCTCACGTCCTACTCTTTCTTGGTCCCAGGTCTTCAACGCATTCAAAACATCGGTTTCTGCTCCCCTGAAGTTTGTGCCATTGTCACTGTAAATAACCCTGGGTGGACCTCGTCTCCCGACAAATCTTGTTACTGCTTGAATGAAGCTGTCCGTCGTTAAATCATTCGCAAGCTCGATGTGGACGGCTCTATACCTAAGGCAGGTAAAGATGCAACCATAGCGCTTGTGGAGTTTGGGATTCTTTCTCACAGATCTGGTAAGTGGTCCTGCATGGACGTAGAGTGGTCCAAAATAATCTATTCCAACAGCAGCAAACGGGTAGATTAACTGGTAGCTGTCTGAAGAAACTCTCACCACTGGGAGTGGTGCTGTAATCTGCTCTCCCACTGTAGCATTCTGGCGCTTACATTCATGGCATTGCCGCAGGACACGTCGGATGGACGAAACACCACTCACAATCCAGAAACGCTGTCTTATCTCCGCTAGTACTTGGTGTGGACCTACATGACCATTAGCATGGTGGTAATGGAGGATGATCATCTCTGTTACACGGTGCTTCCCAGGTAATATCATTGGGTGTTTTACATCATAGCTGAGGTCTGCACGGTCTAGTCTTCCTCCAACTCGCAAGACTCCTTGATTCACGAATGGTTTCAACTTGGCGAGAGGACCTTTGCACGGATTTGGGTTGGACAACTCTTCAGGAAAGGTCTGAATCTGGACGTTCCTTACGATAATTCTCTCTGCTTTTTCTACATCTAACAATAGGAGGTGGGGAACCTTCTCCTCTGGGTTCACAAGCGAAACAGTGGCTGCCACTGGCTTCGTTCGCAACTGCAACAGCTTACGGGCTCCTCGAATGATCCAAGCCACCACTCTTCTTAACTTCTCCCATGTTGAGAATCTTTCAAATAAAGTGCCCCAGAAGTCTTCTTTCTCGGCACATGCATTAACGGTGATCTTCTCTTTCTTGACTCCCTCATCTTGGTCTGATAGTTCTTGATGGAGATCAGCGGGTTGCTGCGGCCACTCCTTTTGATCTTTCCACAGAAAATCTGGGCCATGTTTCCACACTTCTAACTTCTTGGTTTCGGAGGCCTTTATTCCTCTCGAGGCCAAATCAGCCGGGTTAGCTTCTGACCTAACGTGACGCCATTGTGAGGGCCTTGATCCTTCTCTGATGACAGCAACACGATTGGCGACGAAGGTGACAAATCTTTTCGTCTCATTGAATATGTACCTTAGGACAATCATTGAATCGGTCCAGAAGGTGACGCTGTGGATCTTGATGCGACCTTCCAACTCTCGCATAATGAGCTTGTCCATCTTGATCAACAAGGTGGCAGCGGTCAACTCCATCTTAGGCACGCTGATACCACTCCTTAGAGGCCTCACTCGCGACTTGCCCATGAGGAAACTGTTGTGGATGCTCCCTTCTTTGTTAACGAAACGCAGGTAAGTTACTGTCCCATATCCATGTCCTTCAGAAGCGTCTGCGAAGTGATGGAGTTCAGCTCTTTCTACTTCTCCAAAGTCTCGGGGAGTAAAGGATCGAGGGATACTGTAACCGGTGAGGCTTGCGAGTCCTTCCTTCCAATCTCTCCACTTCACTGCTAGTTCATCAGGGAGCCTGTCATTCCAGTCATACTTTAATCTGCATAGCTCTTGGTTGATCTCTCTTCCAGGCAGGATTAGGGGACCAACCAAACCAAGGGGATCATAAATTGTTGCAATCGACGACAGGACGCCTTTCCGGGTCCCTGGATGGGATTTATCACTAACAACTAGGTTGAAGGTGTCTGCCTCCATGTCCCAATGGATTCCTAGGGCTCGGTCCATGGGTAGACTGTTGAGATTGATATCTAAGTCCTTGACAGCTGGTGCTCGATGTTCAGGTGGGAATGCATTTAGGACTTCGCGCTCATTGGACATAACTTTGGTCAGCTGGAATCCTCCTTTCGCTAGCAGTTCCTGTAGCTCCTTTGTAGTTTCCACTGCCTGGCCGGTCGTTTCGAAGGACTTGAGCAGGTCATCGACATAAAAGTCTCTCATGACTGCGTCAATGGTCTGAGAGGAGAAACCTTCGCTGTAATCGGCAGCTGTTCGCCGTAATGCGTAACCACAAATGCTGGGTGATGAGGTAGCCCCAAAGATATGGACTAGCATCTGAAAGGTCTTCGGGTCCTTCGTCAAATCTCCATCCGGCCACCACAGATAGCAAAGAGCGCCCCGGTCTTCAGGAGACACAAACACCTGATGGAACATCCGCTTAATGTCAGCTGCCACGGCTACACTGTTAACTCTGAATCGCAGAATGACTCCTATAAGTGAGCTTGTGTTCTCTGGTCCCTGCAACAACTGATTGTTCAACGAGACACCGCTGGACTTGCAGGCACAATCGAATACCACTCTCGGCTCTTCAGGTTTTCTCGGGTGCCAAACAGCGTGATGCGGTAGGTACCAAATGGGTTTGAGGGAAGAAATTTCTTCATCAGGGACTTGACGTGAAGATCCTTCTTCTTGGTATTTCTGGATAACGCTTGCATATTGCTTGTGGAACTCAGGGTCTCTTTCCATTCTCTTTTTCAGCCAATACAATCTCTTCTTTGCCACTGGTAGACTATCAGGTAAGCAGGGAGGACTATGCCGGAATGGCAGCTTGAGCTGATAATGTCCATTAACAAGGACCGCTGATTGATCCATAATCTGCTTCGCTCTTTGGTCTTCCAACGACAAACTCTCTTCAACATCCACAAGGGTATCTTTGAACTCGGTATTGTACAAACGTTCCAATTGCTGACTTAACATCTCTTCATGATCACTCCTTACGAAATTGACATGGATGCCATTGCTGTTGGGTTCACCCATTGGGCCATACACCGTCCAACCTAAGGGAGTATTTACGGCATAGGGCTGGCCCCGAGCTCCTCTTCTGATTTCAGAATTATCATCGATAATATCCGGTCGGTCGCTGCCAATAAGGATGGAGACTCGATGCCCTTCTATTTCGGGAAGACTGACGCCATCAAGGTGTGGCCATTTTGTCAATTCTCTATTGTTGGCGAAATGTCTCTCTCCAATGGGTAGGCTCTCCATTGTCAGAACCCGATCGAGTGTGAACTTCGTTTTCCCGTCAAGTGCTTCTATATCCAAGCGGGCTTGGTGACCACGTTCCTTCCCTTCATAATTGACTGTTGAAAGGGTAAAATCAGTAGGCTCACGTTCAAGGCTTAATTCTTCTACAAGACTTTCTAAGCAGAGTGTAGTGTCTGATCCGCTGTCTAGGAAGGCGTATGTTGTTAGCTGCTTGTTCCCACCTGGCCCACTGACTCTTACTGGGACGACCTTGAAGCAGACCCTCGGTCGACTGCTGGTTGAGGCTTCCCTTGGAGCAGAATCTCTGGATACGGCAAAGGTACTGGATTCGATAACCGGGGGATGGTTGGATTCAGTGAGTGTCGCAGCTGTTCTACCAACTGAACTTTGGCCACGAATGACTGGTTGCTGATTTGCACTTTCTTGTTCTACTACACGGTCGTCAGTCTCTTCGCGGTCTGGCGGGTGAAGAAGGAAATGGTGCTTCTTTCCACAACCCGATTTCCGACAAGAAAATCCCTTCGAACAAGATCTTGAGAAGTGTCCATACGAAAGGCAACTTCCACACAGCTTCTTCTGTCGTACAGTTCGCGACCGATCTTCGTAAGATGCATTCTTAAAGGTCTCACACTGCCAAATTGCATGCGGTCCGGAACATTGATAACACTTCAAGNAGCGGTCGCCGAACTGAAAGACTCATCCTACCAACTCATGTTTGTGGGAGCACCAGCAGGAAAAGAGGATGACGTGGCAGTAAAGTTACTCGAGTATGGTATCCCCCCAAGTCAGCTAACTGTTCGCCGCTTTAAGGAAAGTAGGGAAGAGCTAGCCAAATTGTTCTGTGAGGTAGATCTGGCAATCATGCCATCAAGGACTGAAGGCTTTGGCTTGACTGCTCTAGAAGCTCTATCTGCTGGTCTTCCTGTTCTTGTGAGTGATAACTCAGGACTTGGAGATGCTTTGAAGAAAGTTCCCTCAGGTTTCTCTCATTTAGTGGATTCAGAAGATCCCAAAGAATGGGCCAAGGCTATCAAAATTGTCCGTCAAAAAGACAGAGAGGTGCGACTTGAAGATGCCAACCTTCTTCGTGAAAAGTATGCTGCGAAGTACAGCTGGCAGAAACAGTGTGGTGATCTTGTGGAAAAGATGCTGCATCTTACTTTTGGTAAGATAAATTCATGGTCTTTATTTTGCAGTCTTGTATTTACTAACTTGTTGTGTAAGTCAGAGTGATTTCTCTTGCATGTACATGCAGTTCGTACATGTACAGTCCAATGACAGTGTACATGTAGTCTAATCATAAAAAAAATGGTAAATGCCCCCAGGTTTAGCCAGCTGATACAAACATGGGGAATGCTTGGGAGAATTCAAAAGTGAACCAGAGTTCCAGGTTAAGATCAGACTTCACATGTTCCCTGCTCATGAAAGAAACTAAGTTTTTATTATGACCTGGTGTGCATGCAAGGATTTTTGATACAGTGTGTTTTTTGTCCGTAGTTACTTTCAAAACTGCAGTGTTAAATCTTGCATGTGCATGTATTTTCTCCTTGAAAGGTTCTGGCCAGCCTTCAGCAGTGGATAGCAGTCTATCACTCTCCCATGGAGCTTGTGCAGCACCTGAAGAACCCGTCGGTGCAACATTTCATCTTGAAGAAGAAGAAGAAGGAGGGATCAAGCAGGACTTCTGTCAGGGTGAGAATCAGGAGAAAGCAAAATAGAAATTCAGATGCAACAATTAAATAGGTAAAAGTGCAGTCACTTAAAATCATGTCAAGGGTTTGTAATCTGCAGTGTTTCTTGAATATAACAGTCTTTTGGCACAAAGATTGATCTCTGTCAAATGTAACTATATAAATTTAGAAATGGGGGGAAAGGGGTAGGAAGGAAAAATATTTATACAAAGAAAATTAAATACTTTCAATCAGTAACTGGTAGATTTTATGCAAGGCTTTGTGAAAAAAAAAAAAAAACCAGCCACCATTCTCCCCTTAAAAAAAAGGTATTTTACCTGTAAATGAGATCTTATATTTGCATAGTTATGATAAAACATACACATCGATAATTAATTTATTTTGTCAATGTTAATGTTGTTACAATTAATTTTGTTATTTAACTATTGAAAACAATATCATTTACATATGTTTTCTGCTTGAAGGTCGATCTGTAGGTACTGGGCATTCATTGACAGTGGATTGTAATCCAGTACTTTCCCTTGTACCTTCTCGAAGTTTTAAAAAACGCACTCATCTAGAAGGTACAGCTTTTAATACATTGAGATATGAATTGTCTAATTTTCTCTAACAAGCAATAATTTACATTTGGTCTTTTCTAAGTTACCATTACCTCTGTTTCAAAATCAGTCCTTGTTTAAAACGTTTCATATGGAAAGGAGTGTGATTTGCATGAAAATGAAAGTACAGATGAAACAAATTTTCATGAGAATGGTTTGTACAATGACTCGTCTTGACATAGAGCCAAAAGGAAACTCATAAATATGGCATATAGTTAAGTGCTTTGAATAGAAAGATCTTACAAACTTTTATCAAGAATTGTATAGCCTGCACTGGTGCAGACATCTGACTCATAATGTTCCCCTTTTTCATGTGAAAGGAAATGATAGATGTTTGCATTTAGGCCAGAATTGAATGATACATGTTTCATTTGAAATTAAGTATTACATATTGAATACAATCTCTGTATTAATACTTCATGTGCATTTGTATATGACAACAAATTGCATGGCTTCTTCTGAATCACTGTCCAGCCATTTCCATCTATACATGTATTTTATGGTGTAGGGTGTAGGCAGCTTTAGCTGTTATTACTTCAAAGCAGGAGTTCTTATAGTTATAGATAGGTGCAAAAGGAAAGTTTTGTAATAATTCAAGGTTACTTAAAACATTGTCTGTTAATGCCAACAACCACATTGTATTGTTTTGAGGCTACACTGATGCACATGCTTATTATGTACAGACACGATTGAGTGCATGGGAATGTCTGCAATGTTTCTCTTCAGTTAATTGAAATGAGGCCAAAAGGAAAATCTTAAGACATTGGAATGTAATGTAAGCTTATAGAGGATCAAAGACCAATTGAATTATTTTTATTGGTTTATTTATGCATTACCAGTTCCAATGTTGCCTCCAGGTATATAACCACAGCTTCATGTTGCATAAAAAGTCACACACTAAGACTTCCCGTAGTCTGCTGTGACTAACCACTTGTGCTTGAAAATATCCTTGGTGGTTAATTTACTTTTCTAGTTTACTTTTGAAAAATTATAATCAAAAGTGTTTCACTTGGTGACTGAAAGCTCTTTGAACATGCATTCTGCTTCTTTGTTTGATGGTAATTAAGGTGCTGAGTGTAGTAAATTTTTCTTCTTTTAATTTCTGTAGAAAGCAGGGCACATCCTTCAAAAAGGGGCAAAAGGCTGCTAGCCAATGTTTCTCAACCTAGGGACCATGGCAAAGGTAATTTCTTGTTCAAAGTGCCATAGAATTCCAAAAGAAGCCACCCCCGTTACTTTCAGATTTAGCAGGCAAAGGGGGCTGCTGTTTTCGGTAAGCCGTAAATTTCGGATGGTTGAAAAAGGTTTGTACAGGAATTCACAGTATTTTCAGAGAAAGCAGATGTGTAGCACTTGAAATTAAAAGTTCTGTTAATATATGTTTCTAACTACCGACGTAAACAAAGCAGACTGTATGAGCAAAAAAGGCCCTAAACATATTGTAGGGTGAAAGTATAATGGCTGCATTTTATCACAATACAACTGTTAACACTATATCATTGACTGATCTGCTGCATGGGTAAACAAATACAGCTGAAAAATCATAGTTGCAAGAAAGTTTTCAAGTTGTTCAGTACTGCAGTCAGGCTGTTCCATCCACATTGCGCTTGAGTTTCTCTTTTTGTGACTTCTTCAAAGGGCCACTACTTTTGGCTGGGCTGTTACTTCCGGGGGTAACGTTACTTTTGGCTTTCAATAAATGACTTCTCTTGTATGTGCATGCAGTACATACATGTACAGTCCAAATGACTGTACATGTAGTCTAATCATAAAAAAATGGTAAAAGCCACCCAGGTTTAGCCAGCTGATACAAACATGGGGAATGATTGGGAGAATTCAAAAGTCAACCAGAGTTGCAGGTTGACTTCAGGTGTTGCCTGCTCACATAAGAAACTAAGTTTTTATTATGACCTGGTGTGCATGCAAGGATTTTTGGTACAGTGTGTTTCTTGTTCACAATAATTACTTTAAAAACTGTAGTATTAAATCTTGCATTATTTTCCCCTTGAAAGGTTTTTCCAGCACTGGCCAGCCTTCAGCAGTGGATAGCAGTCTATCACTCTCCCATGGAGTTTGTGCAGCACCTGAAGAACCCGTTGGTGCAACATTTCATCTTGAAGAAGAAGAAGGAGGGATAAACCAGGACTTCTGTCAAGGTGGGAATCAGGATCAAACAAAATTGAAATAGGTCAAAATGCAGTCGCTAAAATTGATATTAAGGGTTTAATCTGCAGTATTTCTTGGATATGACAGTCTTTTGGCACAAAGATCGATCTCTGTCAAATGTAACTATCGAAACTTCATAGTACAAAAGGCAGAACACGAGAAGAAGTCTCACAACTCCGAACTGGCCCATCACCTTGCAAAACACCCAACCTACGCGTACACATGGAATATTGCATTCACGGAGAAAACCACTTTTCAGAGGAAAATAATGAAAGGCCTGTTAATTGCTTGCGAGAAACCAACCCTAAACAGATTAAACAAGTACATTCTTTCATTGAAAAACTGTTCCCCTCGGGAATAACTTAATCGAACAAAACCAAGTTGTATGTAAATTCCTATCATGTACCACTGATGATGACCGTACAGTCGGAAACGTTTTGGTTTTTATAATTTTAACAATTATTAGCTTTTTTATACACATCTAAAAAGCAACTATTATGACAACATAACTATATAAATTTAGAAATAGGGGAAAAAGAGTAGGGAGTAAAAATATTTATACAAAGGAAATGAAATACTTTCAATCAGTAACTGATAGATTTTATGCAAGGCTTTCTGAAAAAAAAACCAGCCCCTTCCTCCTCCCAAAAAAATTGGTCTTTTACCTGTAAATGAATTCTTATACTTGTATAGTTATAAACATACACATCCACAGTGCACAGTCAACTGCAACAGAAATAATTGTGAGGAAGACAATATCGTTTACATATGTTTTCTGCTTGAAGGTCGATCTGTAGGTACTGGGCATCCATTGACCGTGGAGTGCAATCCAGTGGTTTCCCATGTACCTTCTCGAAGTTTTGTAAAACCCACTCATCTAGAAGTTCTCCATGAATGTACAGCTTTTAATACATTGAGATATGAATTGTCTATAATTTTCTCTAACAAGCAATTACAATAGGTCATTTCCAAGTTACCATTACCTCTGTTTCAAAATGAGTCCTTGTGCAGAACGTTTCATACGGAAAGGAGTGTGATTTGCATGAAAATAGAAGTACAGATGAAACAAATTTTCGTAAGAATGGTTTGTACAATGACTCGTCTTGACATAGAGGCAAAAGGCAACTCATAAATGGCATATTGCTAAGTGTCTTGAATAGAGCGAACTTACAAACTATTATCAAGAATTGTATAGCCTGCATACAGGCATCTAACTAATAATGTTCCCCTTTTTCATGTGAAAGGAAATAATAGATGTTTGCATTTAGGCCAGAATTGAATGATACATGTATTATTTGAAATTACATTACATAGTGAATACAATCTATGTGTTAGTTAACTTCAGGTGCATGTGTATCTGACAAATTGCATGGCTTCTTCAAGGTGAGAATCATGAGCAAACAAAATAGAAATTCAGATAGAATTAAATGGGTCAAAATGCAGTCACTAAAATTCATGTCAAGGGTTTGTAATCTGCAGTATTTCTTGAATATAACAGTCTTTTGGCACAAAGATCGATCTCTGTCAAACGTAACTATATAAATTTAGAAATGAGGGAAAAGGGGTAGGAAGTAAAAATATTTATACAAAAGAAACAAAATACTTTCAATCAGTAACTGGTACATTTTATGCAAGGGTTTGTGAAAAAAAACCCAGCCCCTTCCTCCTCCCAAAAAATTGGTATTTTACTTGTAAATGAAATCTTATACTTAATGTGTCTGTTAAGAATGACACAATAAATCCGCGGTTAAACTCAATGTTTGACTTTATTTTGACAAGGAAAAACCTCCATGGTGGATACTCCACGTACACTATCCAAAAACCGCGTGGAACTACGTAAAAGTACTTGACATTTGATCTCTGTCACTCATTTCTAAATAAGGTACATGTAACACAATGTCACACTCTCCTGAACATTCCCCCTTTCTGCACTGAGGGGACCGCAGTATGTAAAACATGATTAAACATAACAGTTTTAAGAATCCTCAACTAAAGTTCACTTAAAAGTCTAACAAGTCACAAGAGTGGTACCAATTTGTGGATTGGTCGCACCACAGTCTTTTCTCCACACTGAACCTTCGCGACTTGGGAATGTCCATCTTTCCCCGTATATGTATCGACAATATGGCCTAATGGCCACTTCCCTCGTGGCAGATTTGGTTCCAGGTCCAGCACAATGTCTCCTTTCTTAAGGTCCTTGTTTTGTCTGTGACATCACTATTACTTAGCACTGCATATATTGCCTTCTTAGCTGCCTTCACCATTACCTCACGTGCTCCACCAAAATGAGGAGCACCTGGGGGGTTAAAAGTCCACTTCACTCCTTTCTGTGCAGTCGTTCCCTGAATCTTATCTTTGTTCAGTTGACCCACAAGTTCCTTGAGTTCATTGACTGCTCCAGTGACATTGGTGCCATTATCACTAATCATTTCCTTAGGTACTCGTCTGCTAGTAAATCTGGTAAATGCATTGAGGAAACTGTCTGTATTAAGCCCCCACGCCACTTCGAGATGAACTGCTGGAGTCGATAAGCGTGTAAAAACACACAGCCACCTCTTTAGCCATTGACGCCCACATCCTTGTATAATGGTGAACAGACCTGCATAGTCCACTGTGGTCTGGTCAAATGCACAAAATGTGAAGCGCAGCCTTGTGGTAGTGGCCCCATTATCTGTGTGGCTGGCTTGTTCCTACAGTTCTTGCACTCACTGCATTCATTCTTATTTCCTCGTGTGCTGCAACAATCCAGAATCTTCCACTAATCTGCGATAGCACAAAGTTTGTCCCAGCACTGTGGTTAGACAACTCATGGTAATACTTTACTACCAGTCTTCTCACCCACTGAACCCTTGGCACTATAATGGGAAACGTAACATCGCACGGAAGACATTCAGCGAATTGAAGTTGACCATCACATCGCAGCACATCTTGATCGTCCAACCAAGAACATGCTTGCTCAGTGAACTCTTCTTTTGAATCTCCTTTCCCGTCAATAATGCCATGTACTCTGTGGGAAATGCCTCCAATTGTGCTTGACTCATAATTTCCTCCTCTGCAATTTTTCTTCTGGCAACAGTTCTTGTCCTTTTATCCTCTCTTTGGACTGTGCATATTGTAGATCACTTGCCACACCATGGCCTGTAGCCGCACTAAGTGTGTCCAACTTGAAAAACGTGTGGGTTCAAGCCTCCAGTCTGCACACTTTGGTTTCGCTCCTCCCTTTCCTCCTTGATTCACTGGGCTCTATAGGCGACATGTTAGAACATTTGCAACATCTTCCCCTTCCTTACGGTCTGATGTCCTCAATTCCGGTAATGAAGGGGGGCGACTCCATACATCCATCTTAGACCAACCAGCCTTATCCTCTGACAGTAGCCACTTTGGTCCACGCCACCAGAGTGAGATCAACCAACCAGCCTCTGATAGCTCGTCTGGTGTTGCTCCCCTTGTGCACAGATGAGCTGGATTTTCTCCTGTTGGTACATGTTGCCACTGCGATGGCTCTGTCACCATCTATATCTCCCCGATACGATTAGCAACAAAGGGACAAAAGCTCCTCCCATGACCCCAAATCCATCACAGCACATCCATGCTGTTGGAATAAAATGTTACAGATTGCATGGGTAGTCCAAGTACAAGCGTTAAATGCTGTGTCAAGCACAAACCCAATACAGCTCCTGCAAGTTCCAACCGAGGCACTGTCATAGGCTTAAACGGTGCTACCCTACAAGGTAGTGAATTAAAAAGGGCTGTGCCAGAAAATCTAAAAGTACGTTTGCCAAGGCTAAGTTTGGGTTTGGGTAGATGGAGGTCAGCCTTCCTTC